GCTCAAGTATTCCTCAAACCTTGAGCTAACCCAGAGAAACACTGGACCTAAACAACTTCTACAATTCAGATAAAAAAACTCTCACTAGACTAAAGGATCTATTTATACTATAGGTCCTTTACAACTTGCAGTACACTCGATCTAAACTTGATGTGCCAACTCAGCCTCCTTAGCAACATGTTGCTCAATGAGAACATGCCAGCTCAAGTCACCAAGACTCGCATCCTATTCCTATCATATTATCATGCAAAACTATGTTTCTGGGAGAATATGTTAGACCTCTACAAAGGAGCTTGTCAAGAACCTTGTACCACAAGTTAGTTACATAAATATAGAGAGCATACATGACGAAAACCAAACTGTGAGATTGGCTCTGGAAGGCTAAGTTTGTGCAGAGGATTTGGCATAAACCGAGGCAAATCAAATTTAAGGACTAAACAAATCAAGTTGTATGGTGACCTACCATATGAGAGTATATATATTATTCATGGTTTTGGTTATGGGCATACCTAATGATTTGAAAAGTTAGAATATTACAAGATTTTTGGCATACAATTGAAGAATTGATAGACTTATGGCAAATTAATGTAAAATGTTGCCTACTATTAGCATACTCAGAAAAATGTAAGCTTAATGATTTTGAAAATTTCTTTCTAAAAAAAAAGAAAAATGATTTTGAAAATTAATTAAAGCCAGTGTTGGTTAAATGGTTTCGAACTTGTGGATCCTCAATTTGCCCACTACTAGACTAGAGGCTTCAAATAGCAAGAATATCTAGTTAGCTATTTTACGTTCTATGAGTTTCTTTTTTTTTTTTTGGCGTACGTTCTATGAGTTTCTTAACAATATTTTGTATTCAAAACCTCCATAATACAATCCCCATCTTAAAAAGAAATTGTTATTTTTTGTTTCCTCTAAAAATCGTGTGGTATAAGTTGAATCGTCCGACACAGTTGGTGTGTAGTGGGTTAGAAGGTAGATACTAAATTTGAATTGATTATTTAGTGATGATGCGTAAGCAAAGAGAATGAAATAAATACAAAATCTCAACAACAACACATGTGAAGAAGAAAAAGTCTTGAACCAAAAAAAAGAAATTGCAAATACAATATCAAGTCACGTGATTAAACACCGAGAAGACAGGGAAGACACGTGCTGCTCTACAGTGAATGAAAACAGAGAGAGCAAAGGCACAGGTCTTTTTGACAATTGGCCAACAACAATGGCAATTCTCGAGTGGTAAAACCGTAATTTCACAGTCCACTAGTTTTTCCTTGTCTTTCTTCTCCACCTCGGACCCATCGGAGCTAGTTACTAACTACAGATTTTCAAAATTAAAACCGAACCGAACCGAACCTTCTCGTCCTTGCCTCTCTCTCTCTCAATCTCAGAGAGATGTTGAAGCTCTCGTGTAATGTGACTGACAAGTTACAGAGTTTCTTCTTCTCGTATTCTCCGGTACATCGGAGAATCGTTTCCTCCTCCTCGTCCGTGTCTTTTTCTCAGGTGAGGATATCGGATCCAATACGAGCGATTGTATCTGCTGATCAAGGAAGCGTGATTCGAGAAGAAGAATGTTTGGGTACTCTTGCGGATCGGCTCCGATTGGGTAGTTTGACGGAGGATGGTTTATCTTACAAGGAGAAGTTCATTGTCAGATCCTACGAAGTTGGAAGTAACAAAACCGCCACCATCGAAACCATTGCTAATCTTTTGCAGGTCTGAT